ATTCAATGGGAAAAGTCAGCAATGTCAGACTTCCCCCATTGGTTCATTTTCTAGGACGGAAAATGAACAGCCGTCAATGGCTGAAAATGTGGACAACAGCCTGTAAAAAAAACAGCAGGCACACCGGGCGGCAGTCTTTGTTCAGAGCCAAATAAAGAAATCCTTTCCTTCTACCGTTGTCCTGCCTCTTCAGTCTAGCCCATATCTAACAGTTCTCCCAGTCTCAGTTCCCAGAAGCTATCCCAGAGAAACAGAGAACTGCAACTGAGAATAACAGCCTTTCAATTACAGTCCCTTGCCCACCACAGCCCCCCAGAGATGGGAACATAGAGCTTTTCCTCCCAGCTGACACAAACCGGTGGAAAGATTTCAGTAGAAAAAGTAACTCCTAAAAGTGAAGATGCTTTCAATTCAATCATGTCTAATTCTTGGCAGTGTTTTGGGTCAGCTCTCTTCACATTTTCCAATCTTCTATTGCTTCTTTCAGATATTTTATGCTCTGGCTGATGTCTAATTTGATGGTGTCTAGTCACTGTGTTTTGGGGTGACCTGGTTTCCTTTTATTGCTGGCCATCCTGAGCATAACTGCCTTTTCCAGTAAGTTTAAATTGCATGAAATAAGGAAGGCAGAACTTTGTGATCTTGTCCAGTGATATGTCTAGTCTTACATGCTCCAGTTGTTGCCTGTTTATCACTTTTGCTGTCCAAGGAATGCACACAGAAGCCTTCTCCAATACCACAGTTTGAAGGTAATGAGGCATAAATGGCTTTAAAGATAACCAGCCTCTTGAAATCGGCCCAGAAGACAATGAGAACTAGTGCAACTCTCACATCATTATTCTGTTTATTCTGGTTTGATGGTTTATTCTACTAAATTATCTTCTGTCAGTTGGTGAGATTTTTGTAGAGAAGATCACAGGAATTTGCAGTAGAAAGGGAAATTATGGGATGTTCTTGGCAGGATTTGTTTTCAGCATTTTTGTTCTTATTCAGTTGCTTTGTTTCTGAAGAGACATTTCAAGTACTACTCAGTCACAGCTACACCAAAGGCCTCGATGTATTAATTAGTCTTTATGAGGCTACAACCTTTTTCTACCAGGTAAGGGGTTGTTGTTTTTTTCAAACGCACATGAAGATTTTCCTTCTCCTGAGGCTACATATGTGAATTGTAGCTATTACTGTTCTTTCACTGGCTAAAATCATTGAAAAGTAGAATCAATCCTTTCTTTAACAAACCAAAGAGGTAGAATATTGACTATGTACTTGGCCTCACATCTCAACTTCTTGACATTGTTAGCAATCAATCTGTGTCTCTAGTTGAAATGAATCATCATCCGTATTTCATAGTTCTTCTCTTTCTCTTATGTTTATTATGCTATGCATTGTATTTTTCAGTCTGGTTTCCAAATCAGAACAGAGTTAGCATTTTGAAAAATAACAGATGCAGCATATATTAGTTGGAATGGAAAGATCACAATAATTAGAAAAAAATATGCATGTTACCATGACAACTTTTTTGACTATCTGTAGCATCTTTGATATAACATGGGCACTGAACTGATTCAATCAAAATTTGTCTAGGTACATATTTGGGAGTTCATATGACAACTAACAAAAACCCATCCACTAAATCTATACTTCTGAAAAATCTTTTCTTTTTGCTAGTAGACATTTCTGCCTTTGGCCACTTAAATACACAGATTCACAATCCTAATAATCTTGCAAGAATATTTTCAAACCGAATCAATACAGATGCATATATATACACACAGTAAAAAAGCCCTCATGAAATTCATGATCATAATAAGTAACATTAATAATAGTAGATCAGAAACAAGGCACAAAATGAAGGGATCTGAGTTTAAAGGAAGCCATATCACCTCACCTAAATATGTATGACTGGATTAAATAAATAAATTTGCATTAGTAAGTGAGTGAATCATCTCACCAATCACACTCAAATGAATTTTAATGGGTTTTATTGTTTTTAAAATTCTAATAGTTTTTTGCTGGTTTTTTTACTATTTTATTGCATTGTTTTGTCTTTTTAACTCTGTACACTACTCAAAGTCATAAACGTGAGATAGACAGCTATATCAATTTACCAAATAAATAGGTAAAGAATGGTGACAGTTATCTTGGAAATAGCACTTAAGGGGGGAGGGTGAAACATTAATAGATTAAATAGTAAATATGACCAAACAGTGTTATGTGGCCACAAAACAGGCAATTGCAAATTTTAGCCTCAATAGCCTGAGACATGTTTTCCAAATTCTAAGAAACAATAATTTCCAATGCAACTTGTTTCGCACAGTGGGTATCAAGTGGTATTCAGAAGGCTACACATAGGACATACAAACTATGCCTTTCTATGCAATTGCTTCCTGTGGATTGGTATTCAGAATTGCATGGTCTTTATCTCACATACAATACAGCAGTCATCTCTGATGACCAGTTTCCCAACTTTTAAGAGATAGGTTTTAGTGGCAAACAGTGGAGTTTTGTTAGAAGTCTCATTTTACATCAAAATTTCATATTTCATTTTTTAAAGAGTTATAGAGATGATTTATGCAGTTTGTGTTGTTGTTTTTTTGTTCTCACTTGGACAGTTTTACAAATAAAACTTTCTAGTCCTCTGATAATTTTTTTGTTTTGATCCCTCCATCATTCTGGCATCCTTCTTGATGATATTTTTCATGGAAAGTTTGCCAAATTTCAAATGCTTCCACAGGCATTTTGAGAGGTTTTGTCCCTTCTCTATTTCTTTTTCCAGATTCCTCTTCATCAATTTTCAATTTACATATACAATTTAAATTTGAGTGAACCTGGCCTATTTTTAACAGCTTCAGCAAGACTTAGGCATAACATCATATCCCTAATTATCTGAACTAGTTCCAGTCACACATACACTCACCCCACAAAAAGGCAAGTAGGTTAGTCTTTGGTCCAAGCCAACTGAAACACACTATACTCCTATCAAGTTAAAGGAACAAAGTACTGAAGGAGTGGAGTTATCCAAGAGCTTCACAGCATATTACAGGCAGATAAACCTGTAACCTTGACTGACACAACACAAGGAAGTAAAACACTGCAAATTCAAAGGGTCCCTGTTTACCCACTTTGTGGTGGTTACTCCTACAGACACATTCACAAATATATTACATGATACATCCATTTTCCAATGGGATTCAAAAGCTGCTTTTGATATTTAATAAGTTTAACATTTAATTTAATTTGAGAAACAGCCTTCTCTGCACTTCTGTTTACTCATTTCCTACAAAGGACAGAAAAGTAACTACTACGTAAAGATAGTTTGCATTAAAAGTATATTTATTTAAAATCAAGGAACCTGAAATTTTATCTTATTTTCTGTTTCAATTTCATTAAAAATCAATATGCAGTATACCCACCAGTAATTCTTCATAGAATTATGGAATCATTTTCATTAACTTCAGTTCCTGATAAGGCCTGTTTACAACATTTCCTTTCAAATGACTATTAATTTTACACTTGGTTTGTTGTCAAACAAATGGTTTTATATTTTTAAAAAGCTACCTCTATTCTAACGAAGAAATGTCAGAGATACTCTACAAACTGAAACTGTGCTTCAATTCATTTCCTGCTTAATTTGCTATAATAATAGTTCTTACAATTACTTAGACTATGCAGTAATTAATTACCAAATCCCTATAAACTGCTTAAGAAAACATAGCCAGCAATTTCACATTGTTTGTCACCAATTTTAACATATAATAAACTAAATGACTGTATCAGCATGATCTTAAAATAGGAAGTTAAATGTAATTTCTCTTATAAAGCAGCACAGAATCATGTGTTAAAAATCCATGTCAATGCAAAGACATAATTGCAAAACTATAATTAACACCCTCAACAAAGCATGGAGTGCAATGGCCTTTTTTTCTTAAGATTTTCCACATAAAATTTAAAACAACAAACACATTTGATTTGCATTTACATCTTTCAGTTATGCCAACATGAGAGAAAATAAAATGCAGACAATAGAGTCAGTGAACTTCAATGTGATTTTTAACACACTATTTTCCACTCCTAACCCTGAGCAAAACTACTAAAGGAGAATACAATGTCTCTGCCTTGTAACCAGTAAATAATCTTATTCAAAGTTACCATTGTACTCAAGATTTTGCAAAATTGGGAAATAAGATATATCATCAAGCAGACTGAAATTTAGCAGTTGAAAAGCAATAGAGGTAGGGAAAAATGGGGAGAGAAGAATGCAACAAGGGACACAAATTTTGAACATGCACAGGCATATCATCAACAACAATAAACAAGCCATCTTGGAGCCAGGAGAAGGAGAGTATGTGAATGATGCCTAGATGACTTTATTTTTCTTCCAAATTCCTTTCCTGATGCAACTCTTCCTGAAGTAAGGAGAAATGTTACACCCACTTTATGCAAGGTGGAAGATGGACAGTAATGGAACAACGCTTTCTTTGCAATAACATTTTTGAGCACACTCATAAGTCACCCATTGGAAATATTAACCTTTTTAAAAGTCAAAAGAATCTTTCCCCATTGATTAATCATTTGGCCCTTCGTTTGAACTTTTTTTTTCTTACGGTTACTATATTCTTACTAATCTGCATATCCTTTTGAACTATGTGCCAATTCCAAAGGTTTATCTGAAGCATTCTTATGAAAGATATAAATGAAAGCAATTGTATATTAGTAGCAAGGGGAAATTAAATGGTAGGTACATATACTTATTGCGGTTTTCCTGCTGAAATCTAATTTCAACAAAAAAACCCATCTGCTAGCAAGATTAGTAGAAAATGTGTAAGCATTAGAGAGTGGATCTTGGCATCGAACTGTTTTACTACTTTGGAGCCATTTTTTTTTTAAGTTAAGTTTTGTCTTTTGCACAGATTTGTAACCTGAATGTCACCTTTAATTCTGACACACTCCATTAACTAAACATTTTTCCTGAATAATTATTAGATGCTAAGAAACTAGCTTACCTCTGTCTGAAGTATGGCAGCTCTCTGTTCTTTGGCAGTAAGTGACTCTTTAAGCACTTCTATGTGTTGCTTGCAATCTGAATTCTGATTGCTAAGGGTTTCAAGCTTAGTTTGTAAGGCAAGAAGTTCTGATTCTTTCTTTGAAAGCTCCTGCTTCAACTGGTCAATCTGCAATAAATGAAGGGGAGAACAATTAATGTTAACAAATACTGTATCTCTTTAGGTGGCAGTGGAGAAGCTAACAATTTACATTGAATTATATTCAGATGGACAACTTATATTTAATTTGATCAACTTTAGGACTACTGTACATTGTGATTTGAATAAATTGGAGGAAACATACAATATGAAAGTAAAATATTCCAAAATAATCATCCTGGAAAAACTATAGATACCTTTATGTATTAAGGATATGAACAGTGGTGGGCTGCAACCAGTTTAATACATACAGCATTCAAAAACCACCCATTTTAAGCTTTAAAACTTACCTTCCATGTCAGCGCTGGTGAGTAAAACAGCTGAGGTGTGGCAATCCACTGTGTTACGCGAATTAGCTGAGCTAAAAAACAGGGAAATATAGGACAGGAAAGGGCAGGGGTGGGTGGGCAGTGAGCTAACTGCTCACCGGAACTACCAGTTCAGTAGAACCGGTCCGAACCAATAGCAACCCACCACTGGATATGAACTAAGCTCATTTAGTGTGAGGAGAAAAAGGGCTACACTGCTGCTCTCCAATTGGTCAGTATCCAAGTGTGAAGAATGGAACTCTGTTTGGGGAAAACTACAAAGGTAAAAGCAGAGGTTTTTAAGTTTGATACAGAGTTGTCAAACTTAAGGTCCGTGAACCAAATACAGCCTGCGGGGTGCTTAAATCTGGCCCACAGGATGGCCTGGAAATAGTAAAAGATTGGTCTATTGTGCCTCTGGCAGCCAAAACTGGGCACGTGGGGGCTGCACATGCCCCCCCCCCATGTTTTAGACTGTATGGCCTTGGGCAACACACTGCTGACCAAAATGTGTGTGCAAGGGCCCACCGTGCCCCATTTTGGCTAGCAGGGTGCTGCAGGAGGCCGTCCAGGTGGAAAACAGGGAGCGGGGGGGCTCACATTGACAGATAAGTTTTCCAACTCAGATATCTATGTTCAACATATCAAGTGGAAAATGATTTTCTTTCAATGTTTTGTGCATTACTGTATAGGAATTGGTGGTCTTGTCCTGGAAATATATAGTAATATTGCTTATTCTGTCCTAAGTCTGTAGGTATTTCTGGATACAGAAGTTCCACAGCTGAGTCAATGGGAGCCAATCAAAATACTATTACCCTACTCCTACCCAAGACCCAATCACTGGCCATTACTGGAACAAGCTAATTAATATTAGAACATTGGAACAACCTAATCAACTATTTAAGCCACCAAGTCCAACATTCTGCTTAGTGCAGGAATCCAAGTTAAAGGAAGCTCAGACAGCTGTCTATGCTCCACTTGAACATTTCTGGCAATCACACTTTGTCTCGGCAATGCTTTTATTATTAGGATATTGTTTTAATATTCAGTTGAATGAATACCATGGAATCAGTGTAAGCAGATCCTGTGACAATTTAGCAGGTACAGTATATGATTCTGACAGTATTATCAATACTGCTTCCTAGTACTCAAGTACTTACTTTTTGAATAATGGCCTGTACATGTGATTGTGCTTTAAATGTGAAATTTCAAATGTCTTTGGAACATCTGTGTAAATTTGTGGTTTTCCTACTGTTTACAGTCTTTACCCTCTTGAAAACCATGAAAAGAATAGGGAAATTAGCTGAATGACCACATTACATGTACAGCAGATAATATAATAAAACCATAAACATATAATACTAATGTGCAGTAGTTAATGCTCATGAATTTTAGGAAGGGCCCCAGAAGAAGATTGCCTGAACTCAATATCTCCAGTTAGTTCCCAGATTTCATTCCAATGGGGAATGGGAAGGGAACCTCATCTGTATCCATAATATAAGGGAACTTTGTACGATCTGAACACTGGTGAATTGATTTTATTCATGAATATCAAAGAATAGATAATTGTGAAGGAAAACTCTGTTCAAAACCTATATCGATTTGCATTGTTACAATCATAATATACTTAAGACTCCAAATTTTTTATTAGGGTTTCCTCAAAACAGCATATGCAATAAAATATTCAGCTTGAACAGCAAAAAATCTCTGAATGTGTTCAAAGCCATGTGTTTATGGAGATTCTCCTTCATCCAGGTCATGGTTGCCCAAAAGATGCTTTTTCAAGAGTCAACCGTACTTTCTTCGTTTTTCCTTGAAGGCATTTTGCTTCTCATCCAAGAAGTTTCTTCAGTTCTGACTGAAGGGTGGGAATTGTAATTTATATTCCTTGCAGTCATCTGGTCATTAGTGCTCTTTCTGAGAGTTGTTGAGGAGGGTCACCTGAATAGTGCAAATGGATGTGGAACCTTTTTGGAACAGTAGAAAGGAAATGCCTGAAGCCATCTTTCTCTAGTTGTGAATTTCATTCATTCTACACTACTTTTTGGGAATGGAAAAGGTTTTAAAATGAGAGTGGTAGCCAAAATAATCTGGAATTTTAACACAGATTTATAGTGCTCAGACCACATGTTCCAAATTAGTAAAGTACAATATTTATCAGCTTTAGTACCACCAAGTCATATTAGAAGGAAATATTTCTTATAAATTCCTTACTGGGTTTTTTTAGTTCACAATACAAAATAAATTCTTTCAGAATTAAATCCAAAAGGTATATTATACATACTTGCACATCTGGAACATCTAAAGTAAAATGCAAACTCACGCATCTACATTGGAACCATTATCCTGCTTGATTTTTAAAATCTTTTTATATAATCATTTATAAAGATCATATACGATTAGGAATGAAGCCTCAGTGCACTTCCCATACTCAGAGTTAAGTTCAAACTAATTGAAGGCAGATTCTTCCCAAAAGAACCACAGAAGAAAGGAACAACTAATTGGGATTAAACATAACTATGACAAAGAAGTATTTACAAAATAAATTATTAAAGGTTATAATTGAACCATAATATTCAAATGCACAAGGTTTTAGAAATGATTTGTTTGGAGAAGTGAAAATGGGTAATATCATGAATGCATTGAGAATAAAACTGACAATCCTTTATGTGTCACTACAGACAAAGAGCCAAAATTGGAATAAAAAAATAAGGTGAAAGTAATATTACACAATACAAATGGAAGGAAAGTTGATACCAATACATACTGCAGCATGTGGTTTACATTAGTCCCAGATGGTATCACACAATCTAATCTCTATCAAAGGATCTTCCTATTTTTATTGATGATTCAACTCACCAAAATCTGATAGCCAATTGTTCAACAAATATGGAATCATTTTCATTTCAGGTATGCTATATATTTCTTTTTATTCTGAAAATGATTTGCAAGCTGGTAAAGAGTTTTACCATTCATAAAATAAAGCATTTCAGATCTACTCTGGTGAATCTTTCCTGTTTCATACAAGATGGTAAAATTCTGTTTAACAAATGTTTCTCTAAAGGGAGAGCAAATGGTAGATTTGGGGATGTAAAAATATCATGAAAATTCTCAGGGATACTTTTTCCATTTATTTTTTTCTTCTTTCCTTCCTTTCTTCACTGCTTGTCTGCATATTTTTTTTGTTTATTATTTGCAGGCCAATCCAATAAGCTGTTTCTGAGAATTGTGCAACTCTCCAGTGAATACTTAGGATTGAGCATGATATAAACAAAATGTAAAAACAATTTGCATGGAATATAAATTCTAACATAAAATAAGGTGTTACTTTTATAAATGATAGCTAAACAAAATCAATTAAAACATTTCTCCTTCTGCTTTCTACAATGCTGGAATCTCATAGCACAATCTTATTCCACCAAAGTCTCATATAAATTGATCTTGAACATGGTGCTGTCAGCATATCATAGCAAAAAAAGAGTAATATTTTCTGCATTCATTCAAAAAGGGCAATTTAAAAAAAAACATTTTTCACCAGAAGCAACCAAGTAGTCTCCATATAAAACCTTTCTGTCACAGGATCTATTCCACCTCAAATAGTGGGACCAGACTTGATAAGTCTTTTAAAACGTATATGTGCTACAGTACTAGATTTATTTAAGTATTCATTTTTATCCATGCTCTTTGGAATTTGGTTGTTTTCTTGCAGAAATTTCATTGTCCAACTAGGAAACATCGGGGTGGGATTCTACCAGTTCGCACCTTTTCCCTAGAACTGGTTGTTAACATTCTAAGCAGTTTGGAGAACCGGAAGAAAGACAGGAAGGAAACATTCTGGTGTTGCTTACAGAAACTGCCTCTCCGTTAAACCTTATTACATTCTTGGCAGGACTAGACTTCCTGTCTCAGGAACTTCTCTGGAGTTTTTTTTTCCCTTCCTTTGCTGGTACTTTGCTCGTGTGGAGTGACCATTCAAAGTTACAATGGCACTGAAAAAAGTGACTTATGACCATTTTTCACACTTATGACTGTTGCAGCATCCCCACAGTCATGAGAGGCCAGGTCAGGAGATGCATGCCTTGATGTGAGTGATATTGAGTTGGCCACGCCCAGCCAATAACATGACCACCAAGACATGTACACCCAGTCACATGACCACCAAGCCACTCCCACCAACTAAGCCATGCCCACGGAACTGGTTGTTAAAAAATTTGAATCCCACCCCTGGGTAACATCATAGGTAACAACTAGGTAACATAGAAGGAAATGGAGCTTCCTCTCTGTTTATATACTAGTGGCTTGTCCTGTCAATGTTGGTGGGGTGGTCTCAGTAGTTCCTTGATTAGACTGTTGTTTATTGTTTGATTGTTTGTCTGAGTTGGTAGTTCCTTGATTGGGTTATTGCTTGTTAGTCTTGTGTTAAATTTGATATTAATCTGTTTAATCTGGCTGTTAATTGCTGGTGAGCAGGTGTCCTGATCTTTTTAGTTTTTTTATTGTTTCTTTTGAATGATATGTGGATTGTGTTTATCTCTATTTGCCTGTTGATGGCTGATTCATCTGAGTGGCAGGCTTCCAGGAATTCTCTAGTGTTTTTGGACTTAGCTTGATCTAGGGTGCTCAGTTTCCCACTTGAAACTGTGTTAAGATAGTGTGCAAAATTAAGTAGTTTTCATTATGTTGATCAGTTAATTGGAAATCAGTTAATTGACAATCAAAGGGTGTTGCAGCTTTCTCTTCCAAATCCCAATCATTGTCTTTTTTTGCAAGTTGCTCCTTGACTTGTGTGTGTTTTGCTAACTCCAACATCTGTTTTTCTTGGAGACATTAGCTTGCTATCCTACAGCCTGAGAACACAAGGCAAGCCCTTTATTTGCCATCAGAACCAAAGCCAATCATGCAAGATCAAACCACCAAATTACCTGCTCCTATTTTTTTTCATTCTTGTCATTTCACCTAGATATTTGGGGATCTGGAAGATAGTGTTTGCTGTTAATGTCTTTCATTTCTGTACCCACCCCCTAAACTTTGATGTAACCTAGTTTTCCAGAGAAGTTAGCAATGTTCCACAATGGATTGCCTTTAGGAACCTATGCTCCTCTTCCATTTAAACTGTAAAGAACTTAAATAGTTATTTCTTAAATCCAAGCTTTTTTCTCCCAAAGTTTATAATATTATAACACCTTAAGTTGTTGACCATGAAAAGAGCTTTGTTCTACTGTTTGCTATCAATCAGAACTTATATTTATCAAGATTTCTTTATCAGTGATCTCAGGTTAGACAGATGGGGTATAACAAGATCTCCTTGCTGACAGCATTATAAATATTTTTTCCACCTTGAAAGGTCCTGTGATGAAGTAGGATCTTTTGCTACAAATCTCAATTGTCAGAAAAAGGACAGGGCTGCTGACAGAGGTTAGGCAGGCTTTCATCAGAATGAGGCATGATTATCCAAGTACTGATCAGATGGCTGTGACCAACAACCATATATAAACATTTTGCTCTCATTTTCTCTATAATAGTGGAAGAATCTATTGCATTGAGTCCTTATTCACAAAATCATTACAGTTTTCCTCTTTATGTTAGCAGAATTCCAATTAATATTCAGTATAACTTTCAGAATTAAATGATTCCTTACATATACATAGTAATTCCTACTATCAAAGAAACATAGATTTAATTAGCCTACTAATGTATTTGTTTCTTGGTTTGTTTAAAATATTTATATGACCACCATCTTACACAGTATAAATCTGAGTGGTCAACAATCACAAGAGTTTTGAATATCAGACATATGAGACTTCACTCAAGCATTTTATGTCTACATTTGCAGTCATTTTATTCTACTTGCATCATATCTTAACTGAATTACATTGCTTTCTAACATTGAAAACAATTCATGGTTGTTTGTTGCAAACATGGAAAATCTCCTGAAGGACCTCTGAATCATTTCCAGTCCTACAGGTGCCTTTGCTGTAATTACTCAGCAAGGAGAGATGGCCAAGAACTGATAGCAGGAATGCCATTGTCATGATTTTTTATTCAAGGAGACAAAAGTACTTGTTCTATGGCAATTTAATATGGTTTCCCCCAGGGAATACTCTCAAAACAAGGCACATTTTTCACACTGGCTTGATTTGGCTCTAACAAAGGTTGCCTTTATACCTGAGATATAACATGGAAACTTCTCTCACCAAGTGAATTACTAATGGGTGGGGGGGGGGGGGAATCTACCTTGTTTACCAGGAAATTTTTCTTTACTACTTGATACTCCTCTCCAGATCTTTTGTTGACACAGTACAATCACCAATCTCCTTCAAAAATCAGAATTTTAATAAGTCTTGTTTTCTTAGCTGCACATACCTTATTTTTCATAAACTTGGAATGACTCTTGTAAACTTCTATTTGTTTGATCTCTTCTTCTCGATCTTCTGTGTTCAGAACTCCATTTGTCTTCAACATCTGTATTTCATCTTCGAGATCTCTGATATTACGTTCCAGGGAAGCTATTTTCGTGTCCTATTTTGGGGTAAAGAAAGTGTTGGTATGCAATTATTATACAAATTATTTATAAGAAAAGCAGACATATAACTTGTGATACAAGAGCAATAAATCTAAAGAACTAAGTTGGCACAAGGAACTGAAGCCTTTTTTCATCTAAAGAGCACTGGGATAAGTTCAGTAATAATTATGTAGCTGGAATATATATATATATATATAATTGTCAAAATTTTCACTTGCCTAAGCCACTGAACAGCCACTCTGAATGTACTAGGAATAGAAAAGTAGGCTGCAATGCAAAGTAATAAAAGAACAAAAAATAAAATAAATGTAAGACAAAAAATGCCAATGGACAAAAAATGCCAAGAAATCTGGGTCTAACTACTTTTTTTGTGAAGTGAGAATGCTAAAGTTTATAACCTTTTAAAGACATCTGTTTCACTACCACATCTGATATAAAAAACCACGGTCTCTTCAGATAAGATAAAATAAGAATGGAATATATCCAAATCAAATGAAAGCCACCATTATACCACACTTATTTCATTACATTCTAACGTGGAGCCAACTTAAGAGATGAATGGAAATATTTTAAAATTCCTTCCACCTGGGTGTGGAATCTTTCCCTGCCTGCCTGTACAATACAGAAAAATAGGTATCCTGTTTCCAGCTACTGTGAAATTGAGGATGCTGGCATCCACTGCAACAGGCAGAAAAGGAGAAGATGTTGGGCAGGACAATTGGTGAATCTGTGACTAACCTCTTCAGGCGTTGACCTGAAAATATGAGTGCTCCATTGTTGCAGAAAATATATATTCTCTCAAGTCTCCATACATTCAGCCAGGAGGACTGAGAGAGAGCTGTAAGAATGAGAGTATAGGTAGTCCTTGACTTGCAACACTTCATTTAGTGACTGTTTAAAGTTACAAAGGCACTGCAAAAAGTGACTTATGATCATTTTTCACACTTATGACCACTGCAGTATCCCCATGGTCACATTATTTGCATTCGGAGGCTTGACAACTGACTCACATTTATCATGGTTGCAGTGTCCCAGAGTCACATGATCCCCTTTTGATAAGCAAAACAGATTCATTTAACAACTGTGTCACTAATTTAAAAACCACAGTCACATAACAAATGTGGCAAGAAAAGTCATAAAATGGGGCAAAACTGGTTTTCAAAAATTATCCCTTAGCAATATAAATTTTGGGCTCAATTGCGGCCATACGTTGAGGACTATTTGTGTAGTTTTCTGTCCCATCCAATTTCCAGAATTATTAACAAACATGGCAGGCATTTCTTTGCAGTGCTCCAGATAAAATATTAGCAAAGGGGCTAATCCCATCCTCTACCCATTTTCAAGCTGTCTTGAACAACATTTGGTTGTATGAATTTGGCAGGGAAACTGCACTGATTTTGCTAGAGAGATCAAATTACAAAATCAAGAAAAGCAATGAGAAATAATAGGTAGGAGTCAAGATTTCTGAGACAATGATATAAGAAAAGAAAAGGTTAAGAATAAAATGAAAACTATTTACTAAGTCTGCATTACTATTACTATTACTGTTAATCCTCCCATCTTTCTTTCACCCATCTCCCCCCACTTATGACTGTAACTTTGTTGCTTGTATCCTAATGATTTTTATTGACTGTTTCCTAGTATGGTTTGGTTGTTTATTGTACCCTATGACTATTATTAAGTGTTGTACCTTATGATTCTTGACTCTTGACAAATGTATATTTTCTTTTATATACACTGAGAGCATGTGCACCAAGATAAATTCCTTGTGTGTCCACACTTGGCTAATAAAAAATTCTATTCTATTCTATTCTAAAACCAAAACTGCTGACACTATATTTGAAACTCATTTGAAGATTTCTTTAAACATATCGAATACTGAAACAACTGATAAAAACTTAGCAGTTTCAACTTTTTCTAAAATTCCTATAGCGAAATCTTTGCGTCTGTCAGACTTTTATTTCAAAGACTTCCCAGCAGTGGCTGATTTGGATGCTCAGTAGGGCTAGCTCTAGTTAGTATTAGGATTACTGGATCATTTGGGAATTCCATGGCTTTGGGGTCAAGGAATACATCTGAGAAATTGAATACAAAATCCATTCAACTTTATTTTACTGGGCTGGAAGAAATCATTTCTTCCTTGCCATTTCCTATTTTCCTATTTTGAAAAAAAAAAATTCATTAATTCTCTACTTTGATATTTAAGAAAAGGAAATGCTTTTCCAAAGAGTTATTCTATGGGCTTTATGGGCTTCAATGTTTTCTTTGGATCCAAAATGATGTGCTGCATCATATAACTTTCTCTCCTCTTTGTAGCACACTTGCAAGACCTGCATCTTCTAGAGCAGAAGTGTCAAACTCAAGCTCATCGGCCAGATCCAGCCCAGGATCTGCTTAGGTCTGGGCTGCGGGGCTGTTCTGTAAACAGGAAAGGACTCCCAAGCTCTGCTTTTGCTGGCAGAGGTTTGCAGGAGGCAGTTGCAGCTAAAATTGGAGCTCAGGAGCCCATTTTTGCTGGCAGAGTGCTCAGGCCACCACAGTCGTCTCCAACATTGAGCTGGCCACACCCACCCTGGCCACACCTACACCCACCCCCCTCGAGGTCAAACATAACCCTGAGGTGACCCTCAATGAAATCGAGTTTGACACCCCTGTTCTAGAGACTCTTTGTCATGCCCCTGGTGGAGACTGACTCTGAAGGAGAGGAGCTGACAGGGAGTGGAAGAGTGGCTCCGGAGGTTGTGGAGGAGGCTGGGGAAGGGCAGAGGCCGGCTGAGCAATCAGAGGAGGACCCAGGCTCATCCCCTACCCATCCTAGGGCATGCAGGGAGGAGAGGATAAGGGAGAGACGTGGTCTCCTTGGGAGGAGAGGGCCTTGATCCTCTTCATGTGATGCAGGTGTGACAACTGAATAAGAGTTTGGATCCGTGTACTGGCAAATGCTGGAAACAAAGCATGTTTTATTTGGGTCTGAAGTTATTTTGGTTGGCGTCTTTCCAACAGACTGTGCCTTGTTATCTCCTTGAATTTGGTAAATACTTCTCTTGTTCCATTGTGGAAATTTCATCATTGTAGTTTGTTTGGTTCTTTATTTCACCTTTATCTGCTCATTAAATTCGGACTGTATTGCTTTCTTTTGAAGACTATTTTTTAGTACGTTTTATCTCCAACTGAGTATTATTGAACAGTGAGGCCAAATTGGAGGCATTAAAGGACATTTATTTATGTTTTGGATTTTGTTACATTTGTGTTACACTCTGGGTCATCAGTCTTTCTGGAGGGCAGTAGATGTTAGGAAGCCAAACCAGGAATAGGAAATTACACTAACGTTTCTTACGCTAACAGAGTCCTGAAAGCACATAATGTGTCAGCATTTAAATACAGTCCAAAATTGCTTAGAAGCCTCTACATTTAAAGGGCTTTGGAATTTTTTTACTATAAGTGGCATTTGCATCAGTTAATATATAACCAGGGATTTTTAAAAATACAAGTCTTTTATTTAAATAAGTTTTCTTCCACTATCTCATATTTGGTGCCCATATATAGTTTTACATTTCCCCTATTTAGGCAATAGCCAGTTTACCCCAATTTGTGTCACAGAGCTATGCATCCCATCTGCTACTTCAGATGCTCCACATAGTTCTACTATTACATTCACAGCAAGAAGATTCCATGTGCAAGCAGATTTTTGCATGTGCAACTTTGAATCTAACTCATTGTTAACAAAAGGAAAAGTCATTCTGCTGAGGCTTCAGAGTATTTAAAATTGACAATGATTTATTCAGAGAAATTTATTTTGGAGAAACTCAGAAAGTATGGAATAACTTGATTCTATCAGAGTTATGTACTTACTACCTGGAACATGCTGAACATACACAGTGAATACATTGGAGGAAGATTATGATTTTTTTCCAACCTATTGTATGCTGCTTTGAGTTATTTCAATTAAATGATGCAATAAACTGAATACATTAGTTAATTAATATACATGGTAGTATCTTCTTGAACCCATCTCAAAACCATAGTTGGATCCTATGACCCAACAGATAATTGTCCCATACAAAACATTTGAACAGATGTTCTAAGTGACCTGATGGGCTTTATTTTATTATTGTATACACAATAATGTGAAATCACAGCTGCCAATTGTTTAGTTGGTGTTGGCCTCCGGACACATCGAGCTCTTTCCTAGGAACCCAGGAAGTGCAAATGTATTGGCATAATATAATTACAGATCCAAGCAGTGTGGTCTTTTATAATTGACAGATGGAAATTTTATTTTATTCTTCCAAGGATTTAACATCTAGGACCTCATAATGCATCATACATAGAAAATGTATGAACCCAAGCAGTGTTTGCAACTGACAAAATAAAATTGTGTCAATGCACAGATGTTCTAAGCACTGTCCAATTTTTTTTTGATATGGCACCCAAAGTACTGATAACCACTGGGACCACCAAGGCAGGTTTAGGCTATAATTTTTCAATTTTAGTGTTCAGCTTTAAAACTTTGAGATCTTTGTAATATTGTGTGATCTCCAATTTTTTGTTTTCTATTCTTATTATCCCATGGTATTGCCATATCAATTAACCACACTTTTTCCTTTTCAATCACAGTTATGTTTGGTGTGTTATGTTTATTATGATTATTATTTTGTTTGTTTTAGCAATATATAATATTTCTAATAAATACAGATGATAGCAGCCAAATAAAACATCCATAGCCTTTAAGGTAATATTTTATTTGTTTAAAGAACATGAAATATGACTGATATAGTGCTGCAACACTTTATTTACATTTTTCTGGGTAGCTCTGTGTGTAATTCTGAATTGCAAGTAGCTTTTTATTGGCAATAATAAAGTAATTTAAAAAATTGAGGAAGCAATCTTGAACTCATTAATTGTTGTAGAAATGTAGCCTAACTACTGGATCTTCCATAGCATTGCTTCTAAATCTAATGATCTTGAAAAAGTATGACTGTAAGCCTCTGCTTTCTTTTAAGCTTCTAAAACAGGCATAAGGCTTTAAAACATTCAGGAAACATTCACAAAAAGGGACACTAAAGGGAAATCTCACATGAAACAGATTTGCATATTATGTTATATTATTATATTATATTACATTATATTACATTACATTACATTACATTACATTACATTACATTACATTACATTACTATATTATATTATATTATATTATATTATATTATATTATACTATACTATACTATACTATACTATACTATACTATACTATACTATACTATACTATACTATACTATACTATACTATACTATATTATCCATGAGAAGGACACCATTGCTAGTAACTTCTTATAGAAAATCCATGAAAGCTAAGATCCTCAAACTATCCACTGTTGACCTCACCCCATTCCTAAGAGATCTGTAAGGGGCCTGCATAAGTGCACAATTGTGCCTACCATCCCTTTCCTATTGTCCCCATTTATTCATACCTATTTCCTGTATTCGTTCTCTTGTTTATACTTATACGTATTATCTTGTAAGTTATTGACAAATCAAATAAATAAAATAAATAAATAAGATGCCCATCAGGTTTTGTTTGTTTGTTTGTCAAATTTTGAAATCGGCCATTTCCCTCACAGAAAGATTTCTTATTTTGGAGAAATGAAGGAGTGGGATATGCTTTCTCAGCAGTAAAGATTTAAAATAGTTTTTTATTCTAACCTACACAGAAGACTTGCTGAAGTATATAACATTAAATTATATTGGATGAAGTTCAATTCAATTTAAAGATGTCACAAGATAAAGCTAAACATGTGGACAAGAGCAGGACCTGCAGATATTCTCTTAGAAATCAGGTGAATCCCTCCTTGTATAGGCCACATATAGGCCAAGTAAAGTTTATGAATCTTGTACAGAAGGAGCTTGGAGCAAATTACCATTGACATTTAGACTGAATCATACATGGTGATGAGTATCCCCATTTGATGAAACGAGCGGCTAGGGCAAATTGTGAAAGTTCAGGAAAGTTCAATGGGTGCTGGGAGATTCATGTTGTTTTAAGAAAACATTAAGATAATATATTTTTGTGTAGTTGGCAAGTTGTAAAATCATACTTCTTATAAGTTGCCCCGTATTTTCATTGGCATATACATTTTATTTTACTCTAGTTGTATTTGAGCCAATTCATACTGAGGGCAACTGTATCATTTATTCCCCAATTTTTATGCACACCATATACAGCTGTCCCAATCAGGTGAAATTATATATTTTCCACACCAAATTCCCTTCTATGTAAATATGTTCATATTGCAGCTGTGAGACGATGTAGAAATTAATGTAAAACTAGAGATAGAAGAGGCTAATACAAAGGAAAAGCTATGCACTGCACACTACACACTACACACTCAGATTTCAGCAACAGTGCTGTAACATACCTGAAATGCCACAGCAGGATCAATACATAAAGATGGTTGTGTCTGCAAGAAGCAAGGGGTAAACCACAAAACAATTCATTCACTTAAGAATTTTAGATATGCTTACTTCCTGTCCAGGAATATGAAACTCAGTTTTTAAATTGCTAGTTTTTTATTTTATTTTTCCATTAGAAAGGGGTATAATAAATTCTTAAAATGAGACTACAAAGTTTCCCTGACTGTGTAAATAGCATACAACTCTTATTTATTTATTTTATTTTATTTGTCAAGCAAGTATTAGATAACAGATATAAGTATAAGCATGGTTATGAATACATGAAATGGATACGAATAAAAAAGAAACAATAGGACAGGGACAGTAGGCACATTGGTGCACTTATACACGCTCCCTACAGACCTCTTAGGAAAGGGATGAGGTCAATAGTAGATAGTCTAAGGTTAAAGTTTTTGAGGTTTGTGGAAGAAACCACAGAGTCAGGTAGAGTATTCCAAACATTGACCACTCTGTTGCTAAAGTTGTATTTCCTGCAATCAGGTTTGGTGCTGTTTACCTTGAGTTTGTATCTATTGTGTGCTCTTGTATTGTTGCCGTTGAAGCTGAAGTATTCATTGAAAGGTAGGACATTGCAGTAGATAATTTTATGTACTATACTTAGATCAGGCCGAAGGCAGCATAGTTCTAGGTTGACTAGATCTAAAATTTCAAGTCTGGGGGCATAAGGTATTCCGCTACGAGTAGAGGAGTGGAGAACTCTTCTCGTGAAATATTTCTGGACTTTCTCGACTGTATTAATATCCATTATGTAATGCAGATTCCAAACTGATGAGCTGTATTCAAGTATTGGTCTAGCAAATGTTTTGTAAGCTCTAGTTAGTAGTGTGATATTACCAGAGAAAAAGCTATGCAGGATTAGGTTAAGAACACTTAATGCCTTTTTGGCTATGTAGTTACAGTGGGCTCTAGCACTTAGATCATTAGAGATGAGTACTCCAATGTCCTTGACATAGTTGGGGTCATCAACAAGGTCTGGATTATTCAGCTTGTATTTTATTTTCTGATTTTTTTTTTGCCTATATGTACCTCACCTCGTCTCTACTTGGGCCTCAACGAGGCACCAAAATGAAAATGAAGTGTTTGATATCAATGCAACATATCCTGTTAAGACTTTGCTGAAGCTTGCATACGGTCACGGATTTAGAAGTGATGGTTCTTCAGCCAGAATGTGCATTGATATCTGAAATCAACATTGAAATTATTTTATTTAGATGTACCTGATCGTATTGCACTGTATGCCTAAGGAGCATGTACAGAAGAGAAAAAAAATGGGAGGGGAGATAAAGGGAGGCCGAGCACTGGTACAAGTAGTCCTTGACTTACAACGGTTCATTTAGTGACCTTTCAAAGTTACCATGGCACTGAAAAAAAATGATTCATGCCCGTTTTTCACAGTTATGACCTTTGCAGCATCCCCATAGTCATGATCAAACTTCGGATGCTTGACAACTGACTCACATTTATGATGGTTGCAGTGTCCTGGAGTCAGGTCACCTTTTGCAACTTCTGATGAACAAAGTCAATGGAAAAGCCAGATTCACTTAACAACCAGCTTACTAACTTAACAATGAATGCAGTGAATCACTTAACAACTATGACAAGAAAAGTCATAAAAAGGGAAAAACTCACTTAACAAATGTCTCATTTAACAATAGAAATGTTGGGGTTAATTGTGGCCATAAATCAAGGACCACCTGTATTTATGGAGTAATTTCTCCTTCCATTTTATTTCCTATTTCTCTACTCCTTTGCTTTTGAACTCTTCGTTCATAACAGTTTCATGTGCATCTGTCTCTTGATTTACATTCAGTGCCCTTTCTCGTGTTTCAATTAACTGTTGAACATGGTTCAAGTGAACTATTAACTATGTTGTAGAAATTTAGTTTTGCCATTTAGGAATAAAGTAGCAGCAGGAAAGCACTGCTTGGTGCTTATACTTGCACAGCTTGTTAATCTGTATTCTAGTGAATCTCAATAAAGCATGTGTATAAATATATATTCTCAGAAAGAAAGGTACATGCAACATTCAAGTACTCATTTTGTACAGACACATATATGTTCACTTATATATGTATGTGAAGTCCCATTAACTACAAGACAAAAAAACCCATCAGTTTCAGCATCTAAGAAAGTGTTTTAATATTTCAAATACTGTGATTTCAGCTACCCTTTTAAGTATTTCAGCCACTTGTTCCCATATTATACTAACAAGAAGTTTATAATAATGTGAATTATAAATCAATTAGAAATTTGCAAGGTATATGTGCTGAAAGTGATTATCAGTGAATTGTAGACTTGGGTTTTTTTTCTGCCTGCACAAATGTAATCTAACAGGAATGTTTGTAATAATGGAAGTTGTTTGAAAATACATCAAGCATGGGCTGTGACTCCTAAATCCATCAGAGCATATGAGCAAAGTCTATACAGTTATTTTGTGTAGATATTAAACTTTTCATTTGGTAACATTTGAAGTACGACTATGGTAGAAATCAGAATGAGCTTAATACTCCTAGCTCATGTTAGGTTTAGATGATTGACAGGTAAGTAGATAGATAAGTAGGTAGGTATTCTATGTAGAAGAAAGATGGCAGATGAAATAGCCTTTCTAAAGACTATTTATGTTCTTGCAAATTAGCTTTCTGGAAATGCAAGGAAATGCTTCCTGAAACTAGATCAGATGCCCTTCTTTACATACTGCATATGATCTTACCATACATTTGTGAGTTTATATATCATTTCATTGAGGTTCTTATTCAGTGATGTTTTGCTTTGATTTAAGCATTCTATTCTTATTGTTAACATGGAGCTATACAACCGGCTTTTAAATCCTCTGAAGAACAGTACTACTCAAGATCAAAGAGGGGAGATCCGATTCTCATCAAGATTATCTGTGTTTTTGTGTTTTTCCAATTGATCTAACTGGATGGACTCAATGAGATAAACATCAGGGAAGAAATTCAGTCCAGGCAAGTATGAAAAATCTGGAGAAATGGCTGGGTAAGCAGAGAAGAGAAAGAAGTACTAGACGTAATCTTGCAGGAAGGAAAGGAAAAGGAAAGGAAATGGAGGGGGAAGGAAAGCAAGCCTGTAAACTGTCACTCTAAAGCAGGCTTGTCCAACCCGCAGCCCATGGGCCGCATGCAGCCCAGGTCGCCTCGCAATGCGGCCCAGTGCCCACCCCAACCTTCATGCCAGAGCCAGCGAGGAGGAGGAGGAGAGGCAGGCGTGAGGCGGGGCGAGGCGAGCGCCAGGCCAAGCAGCAAGAGAAAAGGCGCCGTCAGAGCACCACCTCCTGCTGTTGCCCCCGCCGCCACCGCCGCCACTTCTGCCCCCGCCGTCGCTGCCGCTGCTGCCCCTGCCGCTTCTGCCCCCGCTGCCGCTTCTGCCCCCACCGCTGCTGCTGCTTCTGCCCCCGCTGCCGCTTCTGCCCCCGCTGCCGCTTCTGCCCCCACCGCCGCTCCCCCTGCCGCCACTTCTGCCCCCGCCGCTGCTTCTGCCCCCGCCGCTGCTTCTGCCCCTGCCGCCGCAGCGGGGGCAGTAGCGGTGGCGGGGGAAGAAGTGGTGGCGGGGGAAGAAGCGGTGGCGGGGGTGGCGGCGGGGGCAGCAGCGGTGGCAGGGGCAGCAGTGGTGGTGGGGAAGAAGCGGTGGAGGCGGGGGCAGAAGCCACGGCAGGGGCAGAAGCAGCTGCGGTGGTGGGGGAAGAAGTGGCAATGGCCGGGGCAGAAGCCACGGCGGGAGCAGAAGCAGCAGCGGGGGCAGAAGCAGCAGCGGTGGCGGGGGAAGGCTTCTGCCCCCGCCGCTGCTGCTGCTGCTTCTGCCTTCTAGTCCTGCCTCATCCAGCCGGGCCATTTGCAGGAGGAGAGGTAGGCGCGAGGCGGGTGAGTTTTCTCCCCGCCCCCCCCAAAAAAATTTGGCCGGAAAATAAACCATGATAAAAAAACTGTGATAAAAAAACCATGATAAAAAATAAATAATTTTTAATAAATAATTAATAATAAATAATAAAAACATCTCACTAACTTCATTTCGAAATAAATTTAATATGTTAACTATGTTTTCTATGGTTTTTTTGGATGATCATGTATCGTTACTGTTATTTTATTTTATGTGCGTCCCAAACCAAATTTTCATCTTCTAATGTGGCCCAGGGAAGGTGAAAGGCTGGACAGCCCTGCTCTAAAGTCTGGAAAATAGAAATGAAAGCTGTAAATAGGAATGGAATTATAAGTAAGCAGGAAATAAGAAGAATGGGAGATGAGTAAAATAAGTCAGACAGCCTATCAAACTATATATGCCAAGGAAACTAAGTCTTCTGAGATATGACTAACCTCAAGGAACATAGTCAATCTCCCCAACCAGAGGTAAAGGGAGAGAGAGATAAAGCAACTCAGAAGTGCATGAGGAAGTGCATGTGGGTGGTGACAAAAAGTGGTAACTGAAGCAGTTGCTATTAGTGTGTTGGGGAAGGAATTTGTTTGTCTGATTGCTAATAAAGATAGCAAATAAAACAGAGACTAAAGAGAAGAAAGAGTGGAAATTCCACTCCAGCCTGTAGTAACAACAAGAAAGCTGCATCTTCATCCAATGTCTTCCTTTAAGGTAGACCAAACTCGGATACCAAAGTTATGAATGCTAAAATTACTTTTATTATAGGGTTACAGAACAGAACCAGATTTTCAGGTACAGTGGTACCTTGTTACTCATCATTCATTGGTTCCAAGAGACTGATGTGAACCAAAAATGAAGGGGACCAAACAAACATTTCCCATTAGGAGTCACAAGGCAGCCAACACCGACAAGTTCTAGCTTGTACATTGAATACCAAACAAGCAATAAGTACCGGGACAAAATTTTCACATCAGAATGGGTTGAGCACCAAAGCAGTTGAGTACCAGGGTACCACTGTAACAAAACAATGCTGTTGGGACTTATGGATAGAAAAGACACTCAGAAGATTATTTTTATAAATCATAATGGAGCAAGATGGAAAGATTTAGATATACTTCAATGGAGGAAAGTTGACCGAATTTTCAGGAATCGCAAAACTGACTTGTTTGACTAGGCAAAAGGAAACAAGTACCCTGTTTCTCCAACAATACGGCCTCCCCCAATAGGAAGTCCCAGCATGTTTTATAGGCATGAAATGAAATTACCCCCCCCCCCAATTAAGGCCTATATTAAAACATGTGAAATGGGGGGAATGGGGGGGGCTTTCCATTAGGAAGTACTTTTATTGCACACCCAGATATGGTGCTACCTGCGTTGACCCCGATACGAAGTGCCCCACCAACGCCGAGGTCAACATCCAAGCCGTCACTGTCCGCCCACCCAAAGATGCAAGGGGGGGAATTAAGTCATCCCTGAAAAGACAGCCTAGCCATTTTTTCGGGGCTCAAAAAAAAAAAATAAGACCCGGCCTTATTATATGAGAAACACGGTACAATTATTAGTAACTGAAAACTCTTCATGATTTTTGTTGTTTTTGTTGAAAATGGAAAAAATGAACTAGCAATTTATGGATTTTATGACTAGAAAGCATAAAATATGGAAAGAATGGAATCAAGATATAATTTTAAAGAATGAGGACAGGAGATAAATTTATTTTTAACTGCTTTAAAGAGGGTTGGAAGCTTCTTTATATTTTCTTCTTGTCTCTTTCTTTTCTTGAGTCATTTTTTTGTTCTTTTCTCTTTTTCTTAAAATTGGTCACTTTCATTATTGTAGAAATTACTGTTGCATAAAATTCTTCAATGAATTTTTTTTTTAAAGAAACAATATACTGCTGTTCTGCAAATCATACTACAGGCCATTATTTTTATGACCTATATGTCAATAACACCTATTCAATCACAAACCCCTTTGTGGTGATTAATAGAAGTAGGCAGGGATATCATTATTGAAATCAACATATAACTTACTGTCATGTGATCATCAGACCTGAAAGTTGCAATCTTATTCAATATCCTTTTACCTAAACTTGGGGTAACTTGTTTCATAATTTATGGTTGTAATGAAACAACATAGGCTATATTCAGGACAACACAGGTGAATATAATATAGAATGGAGAATAATTTACTTGCTTTGGTACCATTTAAAATGACAAAAGAAATGGTTAATATAAAGATAACTGCTACCTTCTTTTTAAAAAATCTGCCAAATATTTTCTAACAATTTATTAAAAACAAGTTGTTTAGAAAACCAGCTACATCTATCAAGCAGAATGGAAAAATTACATTTACTGGTGAAAGACTATAATATGTTAAAAAGATCTCTTTAAAGAAACGGTGTTTCTCCCATCCAAGTATTTTAGATATTTGTCACATGTATTGTATAGGAGACATTTGAGAGTTTGACAAATTGGATTGACGCTCTCTGGGAAACAAATGGTGTGACTGCAACATGACATAAATAGTGCACAAATCCATGTATTCTGTACAATAAAAGCAGGGGACAATTCCATGATCCATCCAACAAGCACCCACCGGGCCAATGACTTACATGGAATAAACATGGGAAAACATCCATACCTTCATCTCTATGACTGTTTGAAGAGCTTTTGTCTTTGCTGGCTCAGGCTGAAGTTGTGTCCTTCGATGCAGTTCCTGTGGAGGGACACGATAAAAGTAAGCTTGACGACTCATCTTTCCATGATTTGATGTACAAAACAGGTTTCTTTTCTCGTTTAGTTAAATCTCACAGCAGTTCAGGCGTACAAAAGCAGAAATGCTATTGGTACATCACTGCCCACAAATCTTTCTTGTATGTCTATCTTATGTTACAGGCAAAGGCTCTGAACACATGCGCTATTTCGGAACTCTTTCTCAATAATTAATGTCAGCAATCACAAAGGCAGCATGTTGCATTTGGATGAAGAGAGATTATGATACCTCTCTGCCCAAGCATTGAATAATAAGTCTTTCAATTGCAGTACATTATGTTGCTAATTAAAACATACAGAGAGAGGAAAAGATGTGGGGGGGGGGGGGGGGAGGAGAGAGAAAGAAGGAAAGAAAGAAAGAAATGCCATTTAAAATTTCTGCTCAACTTCACTGCATTGTTTTTCTCTGATGCTGGAAACAAGTAATTTATAGACATTGCATTCAGATTTGACATTTCCAGAATAGTAATTATATAGTAAGTTGATGTAGAGCTGTCTAATGTAGGTTTTGTATTTTGGTTCATCTTTTTTTTCTTCATGATCTGATGTTTTATAAAATTTGCATTTCACTCCTTAGGAGATTTACTTCCACATTACTTCCACATTTACTTCCACATTCCCCAAACCCCAAAAACTTTAACCTTAGACAGTCTACTATTGACCTCCGTCCCTGTCCTATTGTTTCTTTTATTTTTATTTTATTTTTCTTATATGTACCCATTTCATGTATTCATAACTATGTATACACTTATACTTATCTTGTAAACAATTGACAAATCAAATCAAATCAAATAAAAATAAAAATTAGTCCCAATCCTTCCAAGAAGAACCATTTGTACATTAAGAAGTAAGGTTTTCATAAATAGCTTAAAACATGATGCAAGATGATGCATGTACTGCATAACAGATTAAAAATAAATTTAAAGAAAAATATTTAAAGAAAAATATTATGGGAAGTTCTTATCTTCAAATTCATTGAATCAAATAGAAACTACAAAAGAACCTTTATTTCCTTTGCCTTCCCTTCATAATAAACAATAGTATGAATTGTCTTAAATAACCAATTATAAATATTTTTTAAACTCCCCCCTGCTCCATGTCACTGAATCCTGAAACTCACAAAAATATGGAATTTTCAGAGAGGTAGTTATTGTACTGGCAGCAAAAGTCACAGCACATCTTCAAACCTTGAAAAATGGCTTTTATTATTACATAAAATTGTGAAATTCACAGTCCATTTCATCTGGCTTTTATTATTACATAAAATTGTGAAATTCACAGTCCATTTCATCTGATGCATGGCAAGCAGTCATGGAACAATAGAAATAGATATGACCATGCAGACTGAGCTGAGTTCCCCTGCTTGTCCAGTTGTCCAGGCTTGAATTCATAGAGGGAAGTTTAGCCCATCACCTATCCTGCTAAAGAGTTTCAGTGTCACAAAGCACTTGCTGATAGGATATTTTTCCTCACTAAAAGTCCTGTGTTAATAGCATAATGCCAAAGAAATAATTTAAGAAAGATAAGAAATTACACAAATTATCTATAGATGGTGGTAGAATAAAGGTAAAGATTTCCCTTGACCAGTTGCTTCCAAATCTGTGGGATGGTGCTTATCTTCATTTCTTAGCTGAGGGCGCTAGCATTGTCCGAAAATATTTCTGTGGTTATGTGGCTAGCATGACTATACTCTGAGGCACATGGACCTCTTACTGAAATGGTACCTATTTACCTACTTGCATTTGCATGCTTTCAGACTGCTAGGTAGGCAGGAGCTGGGGCAAGAATGGGAGCTTGCCCCGTCATGCAGCAACTTGGGTCTCAAACCCAGGCTTTCAGCTTTCCAGTTGACAAGCGCAGCGTCTTTAACCTCTAAGCCACAATGTGTGTGCCTTAAAATGACTTCTACTGTACAGCACAGTGGACTTGCCATGGTAATGGCTTCACAGTATTCCAGTACTCCACAATGGGGGTCCCTCTCAGCCCTCCAAGGAAACATCAGGTGATTGGTCAAGAGCAATCAAAAAATGATGACAATGGATAAACCATGAATATATTGAATCCTACCTTCAAGGAGAATACCTAAGGACTATGATTCACTTTTTGTTTCTTTTTGAGTCATGATGACAGGCATGAGTCAGCCAATGAGAAGCATTTCCTTCTTCAAAGTCAGTGGCCCCCAACCTTTTGGGCAACAAAGACCAGTTCCATGGAGAAAACTCTTTCCATAACAGGACGGGGGAATGGTTTTGCAAGCTACCTGCATCCCACGGATGGGGCTTCATTTGTTTGTGCAGTCTGGTTGCTGGCATGCCTCGGACTGGTGTCAGTCCATAGACCAGGGTTTGGGGGCCCTATTCTGAGTGACAGATACAAAGAGGAATCAAACTGCACTTAAATGTAGCACTGCTCTCTCCACTTGGCCTACCTAAAGTATAGCTGGACCTTCCATTTCAGGAGATGATTTAACTGTTAGACCTGATGGAAAGAAATTATGAAAAAAATTAATAAAGTTACACCCCTTTCAAAAACCAGTTTCCTTTCTTAGGAATGAAATACTTTAGGAGCTTTGCTGAAAAATAGGTAAGGTGAAAAAAATTACTTATTCATAAAAAGTATGGCCTGATTTTAAAAATAAAAGTTCTACCATTTCAGGAAAGGCCGATCTTTTCTTGGTTAACATGAAGAAGGAATGCTTCTCGGGTCAGAAGCATTCTTCTAATCAGTAGGAACGTTTTAAAAAAAGATTTTGGAACAGTGTTTTTCAGTGTAATTGACTAAAATGTCTGGCTAAAATTCTGAGAATTGAAGTCCACACATCTTAAAATTGGTTAGGTTGAGAAATACTGCTTTGGAGTATAACAACCATACTACTGTGGGAAAGCCCCACCCAGAAGAATGAAATATTTTGGCGGATATTAAAAAGACAGAATAGAATATTTCCCCTAAAGGAGAAATGAAAAAAACCTTGAAGGAGGCAGAAACCAGCCCCAGTTTGCCTGCCCCAAGCAGAACTGAGAAGGCCAGCATTTAGAAATGCAGATTTGGTAATCCATTCAGAAATACTGGGTCAAGACAGAAACTCAGATAAGCAACAAACAAAAGGTTACAAACTTAGCTCAGACAAACACCTAGTATTTGCATTTCCCCTTTTGTCTATAGAGCCAGCCATGACCCCTACATGGCCCCATAGGAATCCAGAAGGTATAAAAACCCACCCACTCTAAACTCCATTTCATCAGTTGCCCCAGAACCACAAACCCTGGTGGTTTTGTTCATCAATAAATAGGCCTTCTTTCCAGTCAGCCTCCAGCCTCCATTTTGTTTCCAGAACCCCTCTCCCATCTTGGAACTGAACCAGGTGGATTTTCCTTCTAATACTATTTAAAAAACAATGTTGGGGATAACTTGCTGGCCTGTCAAAAATACTGAGAAACTGATCTACTTTCAGCAGATTCAGAGGCAATGGAAATACTTTATTATTTTTCTCCAGCATCTTCTAAGTCAACAACTGCAAGTCTTGTTGGTTAGATTGTCTTCCTAATCAGGAAAAGTTTTGTTTGGGCTGAACATGTGACATTCTCCCTCATCTTGTTTTTCACGTAGGATCAGGTTCATTATACTAAGCTCCATGGCAACAACTAGTATCTTTTACAATATCATATTCTAATGGTTTCTCTATTGTTTTGAAGTATTTTAAATGCTTTCAATGCAATTCTTTTTAAACTCTGTTTAAAAAGATTTTTGAATTACCTTTTTCTCTTTATAATTTGAAGCTCTAAAGTTCATGTAAGATAAAAATAAATATCAGCTAGGCTTCAGGGTCTCAAATCAATTATGTCATTAAAGGCAGAAATGCACATGCTATGCTTGAAAGTTGGTTTTCAAATAGTTGTATATGGAAGAGATCATAACCCCCTCAAGTTATGCGGGCGCAGGATTTAACTCTTTCTATGCTATGCTGTTAACAAAAAAAAATGCACAAGCAGTTATGAAAGTGAAGTTGACATGAACGGTCTCCTCTCAGGGCTAATGACTCAGGGATCATTTTTCATAGAAATGGAAAGAGAAACATTGTTTTTAAAATACATCACACACACACACACACAATCTAGTTAGCTAGCTAGCTCTATCTACAATGTCTGTATCTCTATCTGTTGTAAGCCAACAGAGGGCTGTAAAGTGCCAGTGCTGTGGGGTGGTATATAAGCCTAAATGCTATTTATATCTATCTAGCTGACACTCTCTCTCTCTCTCTCTCTCTCACACACACACACACACACACACTTTAGCTCTATTATCTTTATCTATCATCTTTCACTATTTTTCATCTATTAATATGTTAGCATTTTATAAATGTACATTTCCACTGAAACTAGTAGAGTTTAAAACTCTATATGGAGCATAATTCTCCATATGATATTCTTACTCTGCTAAGTCTAAATAGCAAACCAGAAATTATTTTAAATTCCAGGAATGCAAGTGACTCACCATTTTTATAATTCCTACATTTTAAAATAATAGCCTTTAAAAGACTCTTAAAGTGGGAACTGTCTCAGTTGATGGGATTTAAACATAAATGCATAATTTGCTATTATTTTTTATTATATCAGAGTTGTGGAATGGGATGGGAAAGTATCTGGCCAAGAAAGCAATCTAGCCAGGTTCTCAATGAGTATTAGTTTTAAAACTGAACAATCCCCAAAGAGTACATAGATTGAAATTGGCATATGAACTGGGTATTATCCATCATCCCTGGAAAAAAGCCCCAAACTTCCACCCCTTTTGCCAAAGATATATTTGCTGCCAGAGATGAACATTTCTAAATTTCTATCATAATTGGCAACCGTGCCTTATTATATTTCTCCTGTTTGCAACATAAATCAAATTTCTTAAAAGTGCTTCCTTTCTTTTCCTTCTAGTAAAATGCAGCGGGAGGTGGCA